TCCAGATCAAATTTGCTTAGTTTACAATTAAAGATTTTTTCTCTTTGAAAGAAGCTTTACATACAGATTCCAGTTAGAATTTTCATTTTGGCTCATGCCTCACCTCTTTTATACCTTTGATACAGCTCTGCAGTTTAAGGTTTTTGAATTATTACCAGTATCAGAAATAAATGCAGCCCACACTTTGATGCACAGAGTAGTGTCCACTTTTGACTCATGCTAAAGAGGGCATGAGCAACAATAAAACTATACAAATAAAATCCTATAAAATTTACTGGTACTGTGACAACGTAAGTTGTAAGGTTGATGTGCTACACAAATCTACTGGCTAGTGTAAAAGCAGAACAGGAAAAAGGGAAAAAAACAAAACCACACATACACAAAGTCGTGGATATACAAGGATAAGATTTTTTTCCTTACTTTTTAAGTTGTTAATGCTAAATGGTGAAATGCCATTTGATGTTGGTTTTAGACTAATTCAGCTACTTGTTAAGAGTAGCAGTGTGGCTTGATTTTCTTTTAAGGGCATAATCAGCCCCCCACTGGTAATTAAACATATTAATTACAGTGCACAGGGATAAAATGACAAAGCAGGAGCCTAAAACTCTTTGTTTACAGCCATGTGTTGTAAAAGTTACACAAATATGCTTTAATTCTAGAACAACTAGTTTAAAGGTTCCAGGAAGGAAGGAAGGAAAGAGAAAAAATATTCCCTACTTCTTCAACATGCCTTATTCAGTGGCCAAATTCCACCCACTTAGGTATCAGAATAAGAGTCAGTCATGAAGTTGCAAATATCTGGTTTGACCTTCAGGCTCAATGCAAGCAACAAAGAGACTGCTGTATGGATGCTCTAAGAAAGTGGTGAGTGAGACATTCTGGTTTTAGATGTTAAAAGGCTGGGGATGCAATTAAGAACAGAGTCCTTTCTACTGCCTATGTGCTGGAGCTGTATCAGTTTCTGTCTGTTTATGTTTATTCATATCACACTAGCAGATTCTTGCAATGAATACAAGCAATTAGGAGAAGAAAGGGTTGTATACTAGGCAACTATCAGCCATAATAAAAATGATGAAAATGTTGCTAATTTATAGGGAACTTTAAATAGCATTTGGGAATTTCCTGGTTATTAATTTATCTTTGTGAATTTCCTTTAAATACTGAGCAGTAAAAATAATAACTACATGTTATGAGTCTAAGGACCATCTCAGTAGAGAGCTTGATACTGTGGTAAAAGCAAGTGAATTTCTTACACTTAGTAAATATAAGGAAACTAAATAGGTTTTCCTAAAGGGAAGATACAAAAATAGTTATTTACTGTCAGTTGCTTGAATTACATTGCTCACAAAATGAAGGGTTTTTTTTAATCGACTTACCTTACTTAATATTAACAAAGAAAAAGAACAAGTCCATTTAAAAAAAAATAATTTGCTGTGAAAACTGACAGGATCTGAAATCATTATTCTTCTGGAAAACTATACGTGGGTTGCTAGTTCATGAGTCAGCTACAATTTTATCAGCTTTCTTTTCTTGCATAAAAAGAGAATTGCATGATTTTTACAGCGTTTTGTATGGAATCATTTCACAAGTAAAGACAATATCATTTATATAGTAATAATTCTATGTTTCCCGTACTTGACATGTTCTATTAAAGATTGGCACCATCTGACAATGTTTGGATTTGATTGGGACTTCGCAGTAGAGAACATCTGAGTTACTAATGTAGCTCAAAGGATCATTGTCTGTCTTCCCAGCTAGGCATTCGTCTTGCTACTTTTGATCTTGCTTATTCATCAGTTCTTTTGGCTCTTCTTTCATCTTTCTACTACATGTTTCTCCCACTCACAACTGTCAATCTTCCTAATATTTACCTACTTTGGCCTGCCAAAAGGATTCCTTTCCCTGGCTCCTAACACTGGGCTTCCAGCATATCCTAAACCCCATATTAGGATTATGTTGTAGTCAAAGGATAAGGAAAGGATATGATTCCCTTCTCAGCAAACCAATACACAGGCAAAGGAAGATCAAGTCACTGAAGAGCAGCACACAGTACTCTCTTCTGTTTGTCCATAAGAGTCTTAGGTGAGAAACAGATGTTTTAAATGGCATGCCATGACATGTTGCAGCACAGCTGATTGTGCTTCAGGGACATCTACAGATATCCCCAGTTGCCATGCACCCCTGTGTTGGAAAGCAAGAGAATCCCCTGTAGATTTCCTCCCAGGCATAGCTACAAGCAGGTTCCCTCCCCCACCCCTACTTGCAGATAGGCACACTGGGAAACCCCTCTGCAAGGGATTTCCCCACACCTGTCTGCAGGTGCTGAGGGAAGGAGTGGCAGTCCTCCTTCTCTGTGTTTGCAGGCAGCATGGACGAATCTGCAAGAGAGAGTCTGACATGCATCTACAAGCACAGAGAGGGGAACTTGACCAACTGTTTGTACCTCCATATTTGCAGGTATGTGTGCGGATATTCCTTTGCAAGGATTTACACCCGTAGGCACCTACAAGTACAGAGAGGGGACATGACTCGCACTCCCCGCTCCATGGTTGCAGGCATGCACAAGGGAATCCATTTCCCCACATTGCAAGAGATACATGTTTGCAAGCATGTCTGGATAAGTGGGGAAAGTGAGGCATATGTTCCCAAGGCCTGAGGGGGCCAAGCCTGCCCTAAAATTCCCAGGGTGTGCAGGACCAGGCCCTTCAAGCCTGAGGAACCCTTGCCCCAGGGGTAAGGCAGAGAAATTACAAATAAACTGATATAAATGACTGGAAACCAGTTCAAACCTATAACACAACAGAAGTTCAGTGCATGTAAGCCACTTTCAAAATAGCTGAAACTGGTTTAAGATAAATCTGAATGAATGTAGTATCAGACTTACCTGATTTAGGTTAAAGCAGTTTATTGAACTTCAGTCAAGTTAACTCACAGTCCCCCAACATGCCAGGATGCTTTGCACCTCCCCCACAAACCTCCCCTCACCTGGTGGGCAGGCTAGACTTGTCTCAAACTGTCTGCTCCAGCCGACCAGGCATGTGGCTGCATTTCCAGAATCAAGAGTGAATGTCTGTTCACTTGCTTATTGGTTCAGTCTAAGCAGGTTAGACTAACCTGCAAAGATTGAATTGAATCAGCTGCAGGCTTTTTGACTGTCTGTACTTAGCGAGAGAAGTTGGAGGGCCAGGGCAGCCTCACAGTGCCCAAGCTCTTCTGCTATTAGCAAAACAGGTGTGGGCTGAAATAAAGAAACCCAATTTATTATTACCTTCTGCCACAGCCACAAAATTGAGCATTTGTTGTGCAACAGAGGAAAAAGACATATGTTTGCTTTCGCTTTGTGTCGCTATAGAAGTTGTTATAGTGGCACAAAAGTGACATCTGTTTCCAACATTATTAGGGACTCAGCACACCACCTTTGCAATGCTTTAATTTCCTGAGCTTAGCATTGTGCTCAGGACCCAAAGACTGATTCTCTACATAAAAACACATCATGCTGCCATTAATACTGTCATACAAGCCACAGATAACCATTGGCGACATGTAGGGGATGCACGCAGGTGCATATGCACCCTCTGAGATTGGCAGTGCTCCCCTGAAAGAAGCAGTGCTGGCAGTGCCTGTAGGTGGTTGCCACTTGCTATCCCTCCCCCCCTCCCCCCACTGCTGACACCACTGGCAGTGTCTGTGGGCGGTTGCTGATTGCTGGTTGGTGCTTGCACCTCCCCTCCCAACACCACTGCAGGAGCTCCCCACTTGCTGCCACTGCTGGCACCTGCAGGTGGTCACTGTGGCCCGCTAGTCTCTGGAGGCACATGGCATTCATGCAGATAACCCTCCACCCCCTTTACCATCTAGCAAGATACATTAAAATAAGAATTGACAAGAGTATTTTACAAACAGGGTCCATTTATTGAATAGATCATTTTAGCATCCATTTTTGAGGTGCTATACACAAAATAAAAATAAATATTCACCTACAGTATGCTTCTGATCAATGACTCAAACAACCCATACCTTCTGGTTGCAAATAAAATCAGAGAGATTTTTGTTTTAAATGGATATAATCAAGAAACCCTGTCACTGAGCCAGGCATGACAGGTGGTAATCCCACATCAAATGCTCCATCTGCACTGGAATAAAATAATTATATTTTTTTAAGCTTAATCTTAGCTAACTAACTATACATAGCTATTTTTTCCACTTAATTATTAACCATCATCTACAGCTACAGGACCCTGCACAGCTTAGCAATGCAGCTTCCTAGGCAATGTTAATAAAAATCCTGTAGGTAAAATAAAAATAAGATAATGTCCCATTCCCCTTTATCAGTTGAGCAATCTGTTTCTAAAAGGTGTTTTCAAAAATACCCTGTATGTATGTACTTGGTTATATTTCACAATGATAACTGCCTACATGCTGTTACTAAATCTTTTCCATGAAGTAAAACTATATTTCCATTAGTAACTATAAAGTTACAAAGCCTGTATTCTATCACATAGAACAGCTATCTTAAGCAAGATGGTGGCAAGATAACCATAAGTACACTATAAATGCTGTTTCTCAGGTAGTGGGGCTAACCAAATGTGTTGTTACATAATATTTGCCTTGCGCTTCTGAAAGCATTATCTGTCAGAACTACTAAAAATATTCCACAATTCTCTACAGCTTTCCAACTGATACCTTAAAAACAAACTATAAATTAGTCCTCTCTCCACCAGCTTGTTACTCCCTTAAATTACAACAGAACCTGTTGACTCTGTCAGTCTTTTTCTTTCTTTGCAATTCCTGCACCAAATGTTAATGGGCTGAGTACTGACCCTGTCCTTGATACAGTCCACAGACCCCATGTCTGAATCCAGAAGCTCTCCCATCTCCTGGCACTTCACAAACACTAAAACAACATTAAACACAGACTTCACTTCCCCATGCTCAGCTGTTCCCAAACTATATCCTCAGCAGTAAGAAAGAAACCAAAGTAATACATATCATGTACTTACAAAATGCACATAGTTGAAGAGGAAGATGCATGTAACAGGGTATGGATTGCACATGAACATTTTAGAGTTGCAGTTACTGGTTTTCACTGACCATTTCAAAGCTGCAGTTACTTGCCTTCTCTACATTTTAAGCACCTGAAAACTATACTGAAGGAATCCCATAGCAACCAGTCACTGATGAATTAGCAGGAACCAGGAAGTCATATGACTGCTTTCATGCTTATTACTGATAGATTGAATTTAGGCTACGGACAGACATTTAAAAAGCCCGAGCCTGAGTTAATTCAATCTTTGCAGGTTAGTCTAACCTGCAGCATGTAAACTGATTTGCAAGTGGATGGACATTCACTTTTGATTCAGGAAATGCAGGCACATGCCTGCAGTGGCTCAGGCTAGAAGCCGAGGGTTACTACAGTAGCCCTCCCTTCCCTCCTACAGTGCTGAGCTGAGAAGGTGAGTGGCCAGGACCCAGCAGGACACTATGATTAGGGAGGGGTTTAAACCCCCACCCTGACCTGCAGAGTTCCCAGCTGGAGTATGCCTGGAGGAGGAGGGGGAAGCAGCCCTTGCCAGGTTTTTCCCAGCTCACTGCTCAAGGGGCTGGAGTGTTGCCAGCCCCTGGCTAGCACTCTGAGGCAAAGTGGGG